AAAGTGAAAACCAACCTCCTGTTTAAAACATATTATCTGTACTTTATATAAAGGCCTCTTTACCAACCCAAACACAGGCCAAATACTACTCCAGTTTGTCCAGCCTAACTGTTATGCTGTTGTCACACTTGTCACAGTGAGGTCTGATCGCATTATTTCTCAGATTGCTTTCAAATACCAAATACGTTATGAATTTCTCCATCTTCACATACCCCAGTTACAAAGTCATCAGAAAAATTTTGCTTAGGGAAACAAGAAATACTAATTGAGGGGGGAAAAAAGGGTACATAAGTTAAAAACTAACTCTTTTCATATGGGTTTATTAGCGTTGTCCTCAAAAATGTGATTCTAGAGATTTAATGTAAAGAAATTGAAATTTCTTTACAAGCGAATGGAAATCAGTCTTTTCTACCTATTTCAATTCAGCTAATATTTAATGAATAAGGGTTAGGCTAAAAAGAACAACAGATACCAAATAACATATCCTCCATAACCGCAAGGTTAAGCAGGCTGAATACATAGCTGCCCAAGCTTACTCTGCCAGCTAGAGACCAACAAAGGTCTTGACTACTTTCTCTTGGATGAGTCCTAACCTGGCATCTACGAGCAAGGATAATACGATCAGGATGGCCTTCTCTTCTTCCTGTGCCCCAACAGCCATATAGAAGTCAGCTGGTTTAGCAATAGTACAGAGGAGCCACTGTTAAGCCACCTGGCCCCAAGTTTGTTTCACTGCAAGACTCTATCATAGTAAGACTCCAGACTGAGACTGGTGCCCACATCTCCTTAGTTTATGCTAATTTGTGCAAACACATTTAATTCTGATGATTGAAAAGCTGTTTCTGTGTTATGATGTACTGCTTAGTGAGTAGAACTAGTAAGTTTAGAAGGACATTTCAATGGAATTAAATTAAGGTTTATTTTGTGCTTTCTCTTCATTCACAATGGCATACTAATGAAGATGGCTAAAAGCTTGAGAGGTCACAGTGATTGGGGGGAGGGGGCTGCAATACATAGGATTCTTGTGATCCCTGCCCAAAATTCAGTCAATTTTTCTCTACATATAAATACGTAGTATAATGCAGTAAGTTGGGACTCTCTACAACCTCTCAGAACATAGTGGTCCTGGACAATGCTTTATGAGGTTGTAGCCTGTAGATGGCTATTAGTCTCTGCACTGTCTCTCTCTTACCACTGGTGCATGAAAAGAGACAAACTGGTTTCCAGTGACTCCAGAGAATTTCCAAACCTTCCTAGTGACCCCCTGCTGAAAACCTGCTTAGAGGAAGGAGAATGTTGTCATGTAAATGGTTCATCTGATTTTCTGAAAGTCCTTTGTGTTTAGGAAGTTTCTCGGGAGTGGAGAGGATTTTTAAAACTGATGTGCCAGTGAAATTTTTGTATCAATGGCATCGATATAGCTTGGGACAAGCAGGGTGCTGTATCTGTGGATCACAACACAGCTTCTGAGGTCCACAGGAACCTCAGTGGAAAACAATTTGGACTTGACATCTACCCACTGACACTAAATATAACCTTCTGGTAAACATTAAAACTTCAAGGGCTTTGTGGCTGATGATCACGTTGAACGCCAGGACATCCAGTGAGAGAGTAGGGTGGAAAACATAAACATTAAAAGAAACCTAGGGGGAGGGGAAGGGTTTGAAAGCTGGTGGAGAGAACAGCAAAGATTTTGGTGACTAATGTTTTCTGCCTGGTTCAAGGGCTTGTCGATTTAATAAAGATGAAGGATTCATAAGGCTGAGATAGCTTAACCGCTAGCGTACCAAACACAAGAAACTATGGATTGCTCTAGCACATTATGTTCTAATAGAGAATTTCTTTCTAAAACACTGTACTCAGAGCATGGGCCTAAGGACAAAAGGCAGATGCTGCTTCCTTGGCTGTTCTATCTTGTTTCTTTTGCTTTAAATAGGATAATTAGCATCCTCTGCGCTATGGTTTTTGCTTTGGACATATGAGCACTGAAATCTGGCTATAACTATCAGAGAGATTTCACACGGGGCACCAAACAGCTGGAAAACAGTACCAGCTTTCAGTTCCTACCAATGTGGGCTGGATTTGGCCCAACAGTACTTGGAAGGCTCTGTATCTCTTTGCCACGCCATAAGCTAAATGATCTAGTCTATCCTTCCTCCAAGCATGAAGAGCAAAGCCTTTAGTTTCTGAGCACAGTAGCAGACAAGGACAAGCAAGTTTCTAAAGCAGGACATAAACTGCACTATTCAAGTATCTCCAAGCGCTATCATCAGTATCTTCTAGCCTGCAGTATTGTTCTTAGCCTTCAGTTCACCCCTAAATACCAGCTCATCTAGTTATACAGCACATGGAAGAAGTTTCGTTCCATAGCAGATGTTTTTGATTGTTTCTTAGTAAACAGGTTTGGGATTTACTGGGGAAGCTGTTTAAAGCACCTTGTATGTGTACTTGGAATACTTTCACCACTGCTTGGTGAGGTGGATAGCCGTCACCCTACCTATTTGACAGATGGGCAGACTGATGTGTACATGTTACTTAACTAGTTCAGGACCACTGGAAAGCAGAGGAGACCCAAAACCCTTGTTCTAAATCAGTAAAACCCCTTATGTGTTTTGTAAAAACAAACATTTGCCAGTCCTGGAAGTCATTGTTTGTTCTGTTAGCTTAACTCCTAGTGTCATATAAACTTTTCTCAAGCCTGTCACAATTTCTTTTAAAGAAAGAAAAAAATTCAGACACCTTAGAAAACATTCTGCAAGAGGAGTAAGAGGCATTTAAGCCAGCTTAAAACTCAATCCAAATGGAGACAGACCTGTTGGTAGTGAGGAGGGAAACTTGGCAGCTTTGTTTAAAGCTTCCCACACAGACATGGGAGACGCAAGAAAACAAAGACGCTGTAGTCCCCGAGGGTCCTGCCACTCCCAGGGCAAAGCCAGTCCCTTCCCTGCTTTTCCTCTAGCTCTCACAGACACGCACACGCTCTGTTCTCTCAGTACCATTAGCTACAGCAATAACCAATTAAGCCCTACAGACCTGGAAAAAATACAGGAAATGAAGAGTTAAAAAAAAAAAGGGGGGGGGGGGAGAAAAAGAAAAAAACCCACCAGCCCTGCCCTCCCTCTCCTCTCCCCGCAGGGCGGGCATGCCCAGCCCTCCTCTCTTTATCAGGGACAGGAGTTCCCCTTCTTGGTCTCCAGTTGGTGTGGGAGCCCAGTTGCTAAATTTATCTTTCACTTCAC